GAAAGTCCTGTAAAATTTAAAATGCAACATTTTATTAATTCAAGAGAATTATAATTCGTCATTAAATTTTTTAAATAAAATACAAGACTTAAAACAACAATCTTGTAACCGACGACTCACCACGTCAAGTAATTCGTCTTCTTGTAAAAACCATCTCCTTTTGAGCCCAAGGAAACCATTATCTTTTGTAATAAAAGATTCTCAGTTTCTTCTCCATAATAACAGTAGAGCATCGAATTTTTAATGCTTGTATAATTGAACACTTGTTTCGGTGGATACTGGACTGTCTCCGTGGAACTGGTTACATCGCGCGACGCGCTAATGTATGACACTGGCCGCCATTGTAAATACGATCCAGCATTCAGCGCGCCGTCCTGTTCTCTGTAGGGTGGCGTTCTAACTTCAACAACCTGAAGCATTAGAAGAAAGGTTAAGATAATATTTTCAATCAAAACATGGATGACATAGCCAAGAATAGATTGTTACCTCGAATATACCCGGAGTATGCTCATCGTCCAGACTCTTTTTCGGATCAACGAACATCAGTACCTCGGGATCGCCACCGCCGACCGCGAGTAATTCAATAGCAAATCTGCTACGGGCAAAAGTCTGGTTAGTCTGGATGTGGTCGAGGATGATGTCCACTTGCGTAGAATTCTCCGTGTGTAGCATATGCGGCACCATGTCTGAATGATCAACAGTGCAGAATCCTCGGAGCTGACGAGCGAACGAGAAAGGTTTTAGAGAAAAGTGTGCTACGTTTATCACAGAGGATTAAAGAAGCCACAAATACGCATAGGGTGTCCCAGACGTGACATCCTTTAATAGTAGATTTCTGAAATCATTTTAAGATGAAAATCTTAATACCAAAATGTCGAAGTTACAGTAGTTTTTAAATGAGAAAGATATAAAATTAGCCAATTAAACTATACAAAGTAAAAGTGTTTAGAAGAATAGAAGAGAATAGAATTGATACTCACTATTGTGTCATGTCTGAGCGTGAATGAATTTTGGATTTCATTGACTAACTTTAAATCCTTTTCATTTTAAAAATTATTGTAGCCTCGACATTTTGGTACTAGGATTTTCGTCTCGTTAATTTGCTATTAATTGAAATCTGGGACACCCTTCAATACGGGCTCAGAATGAAGTTGGTTCTCGCTTAACTGAGCCGTTGAAATTATTTTCACATGCGTCTCTACGTACTATACCGATACTTTCTCTTCAATACTGCAAAATACTTTACCGAAAGCTTTATACTCCCGTATCTGCTGATATTCTTAGCTGTATCGTGATAAGAGTTACCCTCCATATCCAGAAAGACGAATTCGCTATTTTGCAACATGGTCACGAGCCGCCAGTTGAAATACTCGGAATGCAAAACGTTCGTATTAGTGACGTCGGCAGTGTCAATCAGTGCCGTGTCATTTACATCGTTGAATTCGATAATCTGTAACATAATATATTTAGTATTATTCACGTGCTATATATAAACACTAAGGAATTATAACAAATAACGAAATCAGGTCACTGATGGTAGTTTTTCGCTCCGCGATTAAACCTACATAAATACAGTCACAATTTCTCTCGCATTATTGTACATTAGCGCGCAATAAAATTAGCCGAATTAAACCGCAATGTTGTCGATACTGACGTGTCCCCGAAATTCCTATCAAATGCAGTCGATCGATATACGGTGCGGAAATCTGTTTGCTCACTGCTGTAAATAATTCCATAGCTTTGTTACGCGACTATTTAATAATTCCGTCAACTAAATAAGGTTTATAGGTGTACGCTAACCGTCAATTGTTAATTATATCGCTTTACAAAAGATTAATCCCGTACTCAATATCGCATGGTATTTATCGAGAAATTTATAATAATGTTCTGATACAATAAGCCGTAAATTGTTAGATGTTTACATAAGGTTAGATGTTCATATAAAATATTCGTATTATTTTGCTATTAAAATATGCTTTAGTATAACGAGATCGTAATGGAAATACGTATGTAATTTATGTAAGAGAATATGCTTGTATCTACATATTACGTATGTAGACACTGTACGAGCATATTCTATTTTCAAGTAGAAGACTCTTCGTCTTGAAGAGAGGCTTTACGAAGTGGAGACATTGTGAAGTGCGAAGGTTTAATTAAGAAACCGCGGATGTATTCTCTATAGTCGACAAGGGAATGTGATGAGCAGATTTGTGTCACTCGGATTTACGTTCGCGACTGATGGAAAAATGGTAAATTTGAGCAAGTAATAAATCATAACCAGAGTAATCAACCATTGTATTTTTATATGCTATTTAAATTCCTACACGCGTGCACAGACAAAAATTTACTAAATCTTAGTAGAGATTTTTTTCAATGGCACTAACTAAATTTTTACAGTAAATAAATATTTACTAAAAAAATTATAGTTAATTCAAATTAATGGTTTTGTATCAAATAAATATATATTAAATATATATATATATATAGTTAGTATATATATATTCAAATAATATTTATTAAAATTTAGTACATTTTTTTCAGTATATTATATATCTATGTTGTTGCATTTTTACATTTTTGTTAAATTTTTGTTGAATTTTACTAACGCATTAAAATTGAGTGCTCGTTTCTGCATACATTTTGCCACTCGTTTAATTAGTATCTTGGAAGAATTAGCAATATAATTGATAATTTCAAGATTTATGTCCATTTCTACCAATGAATCAATTTTAATTTTGGTTTAATTTACTCTTTATCTGTTTCTAGTTTTTAGAACTAAAAAGAGATAAAAAGTAAATCAAATCGAGACTATAGTTAATCTAAACAGTAATTAGTGAAATTCAACTAAAAACTGTTCAACACAAATATGTATTAGGACTGTGTTTCGAAGATCGATAAATAATCGGCGTACAGTTTGTGCGAACTGGAAATTGTAAAAATTACATAAAAATATTATTAAACACGAAGACCTGAATAAGTAAATATATGGCTTTTTGGCTTATTTCTATTAAAAATTTATTTATATCGATAGAAATGATTAAAGATAATTTTTTTCAATTTCGCACGTCTCTTAATACGTCTTACAATAATTAATCCTGTCGATAAAATGAGATAAATTAGGTCGTCGATTATCAGTTCAATAAACTCACGATCAACTAACCATTAAAAGAATTCTCGGGAAATTATCTTGTTTATTTGATAATAAATAAATTACGCAACATTATCGATG